GCGCGAGGAGGGGGTCAGCGGGGCTGCCGCTGGCTGTCGGCTGAAGTCTTCTTGCATTTCTTTCATGTCAAACCAACTGGCAGAAAATTGGGGGAGGGGGGGACACGACCACGACGACGACACACACGCAAACCCTACTGGTTTGCCCCTTTCCCTTGTTTCTAAAAAATTATAACTTGATGCGGAAGACACTCGGAGTTTGTCGCTTCTTAGGGAGGGTGGTGCTGGTCCTTGTGCTGTGAACTGTCACCAGCTCCACAGCCCTCGCGTGGCGAAACCCGCCGAAGCAGGCAGGGCCGTGCAGCTGGACAAGGGCCGGTGTGCATGTAAGCATTTTCAGGCTGTGCAGCGAGACCTGCATTTGCTGCTAGACTTGTTTGGTGGCCAAGCACGCTTAAAATATGGGGTGTGTTTGTGAGAAATGTCTCTCATTTCAGTACCAGCTCTGGAGATTTAGAAGGCTGTGGGCATGCGTTCTTCTGCAAAGGTCCAGAGGAGAACCTACTGTATCTCTCTCCCCTTTCCCCTTGCTGCGACAGTAACAAAGAGCCTCGTGAATTTGTCAGTGTCTGGGGTGCTTTGGTTTTAAGGAAAGTGTTCCCTGTGTTTCAGATCACCTGTTAGCAGACTCCTACATCGGACAGGAGGACTCCCCTGAGATGCAGCAGGCGGCACAGAACAAGCGCAGGCTCTCCGTCATCTCAGACGGCAAGTTCGAGAGGAGCTTCTCCGAGGAGCAGGCAGAGAAGATGCCAAGCGAGGGACCAAAGCCGCGAGTCTACACGATCTCCGGCGAGAGGCCGATGCTGTCGGACCACGAGAATGAAAGTATGGAACTGGTGGTGATGAAGGGGGCTGCCCAAGAGGAATGCCACCACGGCCACCACGTGCACAGCGCTGGTGGCTCTCATGGCGTCAGCAGGCATTGCAAGGGCTGGCCGGGCAGCCGGCAGGGCTCCAAGGAGTGCCCCAGCTGCACCCGGCTGGCTGTCCCCTCCCAGCACTCCTTCGACCTGGAGCAGCATCAAGCCAGCGAGACCGGCTGGCACAGAAAAAGGCTGGAGAGGATGTACAGCGTTGATCGAGTGTCTGGTAAGTACAGGTGAGCGCTAGGTGCTGGAAGGACACAAAGGGACTCACCGACTCAAGGCTGAAGGGTGACCCCCATCTCATCCCAGCACGGGGGTTTCGTTGCCACATACCTTGAACTGGGTCCTGTAGCGTTTCCCCTTCAGCACCTTGCTGGTACCTTGCACCAGCACTCATGGAAAGGGATTGTCAAAGGAGGAGTTTAAAATAAGCTGAGTTCAGTTTAGGGCCAGCTCGCCCCAGCCCCACTGTCTCTGCTGCTAGCTTGTCAGCAGCAGATGACCTGGGTGGTTTCATGCCAGCTTCGTGTAGCTTACACAGAATCACAGAATCACAGAATAGTAGGGGTTGGAAGGGACCTCTGTGGGTCATCTAGTCCAACCCTCCTGCCGAAGCAGGGTCACCTACAGCAGGCTGCACAGGACCTTGTCCAGGCGGGGCTTGAATATCTCCAGAGAAGGAGACTCCACAACCTCCCTGGGCAGCCTGGGCCAGGGCTCCGTCACCCTCAGAGGGAAGAAGTTCTTCCTCATGTTGAGATGGAACTTCCTGTGCCTCAGTTTGTGCCCATTGCCCCTTGTCCTGTCGCTGGGCACCACTGGAAAGAGCTTGGCCCCATCCTCCTGACACCCACCCTTTAGCGTGGTTGATCTCTGCGGGTTCCCTTTCCGTTGAAGGAAGAGCAAGAGAGCAGGGGCAGTGTCAAAGCACCTACATCTGTGCTTATCCAGGAGGCGGTGCGGAGCAGGACCCTCGCTCCTCTGCCTCGTGCGGGGGTGAGGCCTCAGGTACAGTGTTCTGCACTTCAGTGTGTCCCCGAAATGCCGGTCTGCGTGGCTGGCAGCAGCTCACAGCGTCCCTCACGTCATGCCACCTCAGGGTCTTTCCATAAATATTAGCTAATAACACAATATTGGACTTTCTTGCCCACTCACTATCCATTTGCTCGGTATTTTCAGGGAATAGGACGTGTATTCAATTACATTAAAAAATCCCTGTCTGTCTTTAAAAACAATTATTCAAATATATGTTGCAATCTGTGTACGTGGAATTGTTAGCTGTTACGCAGTCCGTCTTTGCTTGTCAGCTCTATATGTGGCGGGCAGAGAGTCTGACCTAATTTATCTGATTTTTTTCTTTTTGTAAACGCACATCAAGGCTTTTAGAGCGGAGTGTCCAGCCAGGAAAGGACAAGGTTTTCTCCCTGAAAATAAATTGAGCATAAGGACTGTGGAAATAACTGTACATCTTTCCTGGGTTCTTAGTTTTCTAGTAAATATCATAGTGATGTTTACTGCAGGTGCAATCACAGAAAGGTTGGGTTCTGGATCAGGTTTTCATGCCTAGATGCTTGAAATTCTGTGACTAAATTAATACATGGACTAATACTCAAGAATAATTATTAGAAAATAATGGATTATCAAGTGTACAGAACACCTACAGTCCTGCTGATTCCTGTGCATAGTTTTTAAGCATCGTTTCTCTGTTTATTCCCTGTGATATTTGGGCTTCGCATCAGACACTAAAGTGCAAATTTAGACTTTATTATTTTGTTGCTTAACTGCAAGAAAAGGAAGGAGGAGTGTTTTCCTCTGTGGAAACCTTTGATTGTTTTATGATCATACGTGTTTTACCTGCTAAAGGAAGAGTTTAACTGCTCATAGCTGGAGCTGAACACCTCTTTTTGCTGGAAAACGTGCCCTGGCACATGCTGTGGAGAGATGACATGTTCCGTTTCTGGGCCTTGGGATTTATAATATGTATTTTCAACCAGGCAGCAATTTTTGTTAGGACCAGTTATCAATGTGAAATGGCGATTTGCCTTTCTGAAGATACACTGGAGTAGTTACTTAAAGGGGAACAAAGCGGGCAGCACTGAACCTGCAGATGCCTCCGTGGGTGTTTCGTGTTGTGTGTAAGCAGGCAGCAGCCACCCTGGGTGCTTGTCTCCAGCTTCGGAGTGCCTGCCCGTGTGGCTGCGCAGGCAGCGCCGTGCCTCTGACACCAGGCCCTGTCCCAGCACTGGCACCGTGGAATGGAAGGTTTCTCAGCTTGGTCTCGTTTGCGCGCTCTATCCAAGCGTTGTTACTCAGAAAAAAAGGAGAATTGAATGGCACAGCTGTCACAGGTTGCAAGAAGTGTTTCTTGGAAAGTCCTTCGTGCACGGCTAGCAGAGAAAACAGAGCAGAGAGGAATGGAGATGAGAGCACGACTAATTCCCCCAGAGGCTCACTTCACAGCGCTGCTTTCCCCGTTTGGCTTTACATGGCACATTACTGCTGCAAACCAACACTCGTGCCAGTTAGGCCAGATTGGCATCATTTAATATGGATTTTTATGCTGAGTTTATGATGCCTAGCCTCATTCCAGAGAAGCGCAAGCTGTTGTCTCCTGTGCTGCTCCCAGCATCTGATACAAACACGTCCATTCACGGGCAGAGGTGCTGAGATTTTCCTGCAGCCTGGCAGGTGGCTGGAGATGCTGAACGTGGTGGTGGTGGTCCTCCAGTCTTAGCCAGGCCCATGGTTCCTTGGTAGTTTCATCACAGTTGATGGTTAACAAGAAAGGAGAACAAGGTGCTCTGCCTGGCCAGAGGAGCATCCTACCTGCAAAGCAAAATGGCCGTACTCACAATCTGAATTTTAATTAGCTGGATGAGTTCTGGAGCTGCGCTGTGCACTGAAGTCCCCAGCTGTGCACTTCTCTACTGCTGTCCTACCTCTGGCTGATGAAGAGGCACCTCTGAAGGCTCACAAACGCTTTATTCTCCATGGAGTGCTGTGGGCAAGGGAGGGATGTCTTTCCTGTGTTGACTCCTGCCTATCAGAAAAGGAGGGGAGGCTTCCAGCAATTGTCCAGGCAAAGCCTCAGAAGGATGTTAGCTGTTGTTCATAAGCTCTGCTTTGAACCAAAGCTAGGGGCTTAAAAGCTGTATAATTTATTAAGAGATTGTCAGTCCTTTGGGATGTGTAATCCTGGAGAAGTCTGTACAGAGTTGTTGGCTAAAAAATAATTTGTACAACTTCTCCTTCACCACTTTTGTGGGTTCGAGACTTCAAACAAGTAATTCATTTGCAGTCTGAGCTGTTTTGTGTTTCTTCTCTATCTGTTTTTTGGTAGAGAGCAGACACAGGAACTTCATAATACGCATTTAGCATACTAGAGTGCAGTTTGCATTTAACATATGTATTTCCTCAGGGTGCCTTTATACAAGGCTTGACGTAAACTGTTATCTGAGAAGTGTCTGTTACAGCTTTCTATATGATTTCTTGGAAGCTTCACTTCAAAGGAAGCCTCCCCAGTTGCATTTAGCATTTTTTGCATCTGTTACTGCAGCCACCTTTTGTACTTTCAGGGAACAGCAGGATCAGTCTGTAGTAGATGATGATCTGTACAAAACATTTGGTAAGATATCTGTCTGTAGTAATTGTGTCTGCAGTATGCATGCAGGGTTTGATTGGGTTTTGGCCAAAGAAAGTGAATTGGAAAAAAAATACTCTTGACAATGCCAGAATATTAATGACTAAGATACCGTAGTTGCTAATGATCTGAAAACTTGAATGAGTGAAGCAAGACACATGATCAGCAACATGAGGCAAGCCATTAAGCAAGGAAGCCACAAACTGGAAGTGAAGCAAGGTGAAAAATCGGGTAGCCCTAAATCCCAGGGACCCAGTCCCCTGAGATCTCACACGCCTTGTGTCAGTGGAGTTTAGTACACCTCTGATCCCCTGCCTGACCGACTTCAGCCTGGCAGTTCCCAGCAGGAGCTGCTTTGTGGTCAGAGTCTTCCTTCTGGTCACCACCATCCCACAGACATAATTAGTGACTTACTCTGCTGCCTGCTTTTTGTCTTAGTGGTTGTTATGTGAAGACGATGCGGTGTCCTGATGCAACGGACTTGGGAAATAATCCGTGTTTGGTTCAGGCAGGGCGGTTTATAAACATAGGGGGCCACACAAGCACGGAGTTATCTGCGGATTGTCCGGCTGATGTGCGGTTTGACTTCTGAAACTGGAAAAACTCCTGAAGGCCAGGTCATCAGGAGCAGGCGCCAGGGGTTTATTGAAACTTCAGTGGTGGAAGAAGAGAGTCCATCTCAGGATTACAGTTGTGAAGAGAGGAAGGTGAATGCTTTTCGTCTTCCACAGGAGGCTGTATCGGAAAGAACTGGATGAATGGGACATTTCAAACTAAAGGTGTTAAGGAAAAGGCAGAGGCTGGAAAATGCTTTTAATGAAAAATGTTTCTTTCCCCTGTTTGTTTTTTTTTTTTTTTCTTGTTCAAATATCTCTTCTGTAATACCTGCATTATTCTGATCTTTCACACTTAGGACAGAGCTTTCATTCTTCATTTGGTAGCCTGATGGTCAGGCTTAGCACAGATTTACAAAACACTTGGTGGTAGCATGCATATATATGAGGAAGATGAGACTCTCCTGTTTAGTACAGGGCAGGACACTGATGAAAAGCACTAAGAGAAAGAGCTTGGACCGTCTTGCTGTCTGAGCGATGTCTCTGCCCACTGGATTCTCAGGTTTTGCTCTCTCTCTTCCAGATGATGTCCCCATACGAACCTGGTTCCCAAAAGAGAACCTCTTCAGTTTTCAAACTGCTACTACAACTATGCAAGCGTAAGTGAAACTACTGCTGTAGCTGTTAGTGTGTATCTTAAAGTTCACGGCCCGCTCACAGCTGTATCTGAGAGCCTGGAGCAATTGAGTTGTCTGTCTGGCACCGCAGTGAGAGACAGACAACCTTGTCTCTTACCAGTTTCTTCTTTGCACTTATTAGTTCTCTTTCTTACTACTCCCACTTGTTTGGTTTTAACTACTTGAGCTACCCAGCCCTTCTCTGCTTCCCTTATTTTCTCTGTGACGCTGTGCCCTGTCCCTGGCTGCATCTGCAGAGCGAGGGTCCTGTGGGAGCACCAGCTGAGACCCTCCACCGCGTGCTTCTGCTGCAGTTGCTGCCCCGAGGGAAGGTTATTCCAGGCTTGCCCTGCATCCATCACTCCAGAGGAGCGCGTCTCTGTAGGATGAGATACAGCCCTACAGCTTCTGCGCTGGTCTGGTCGTTTGGAGGAGGTGTCAGTAAAATCTCTGCAGAGTGTGAGCAGGTCTGAGTTAGGCACAGCCTCTCCCTCCATGCTGCACGCAGGTTTTGGTGTCCCTGGGTGCTGTGCGTTGGGAGGAGGCAGTTCTGGAAGGACTGAAGAGGAGAAGGGAAGCTCATTTCCAGGTTGTACCCAGCTTGTCAGGAAATACCGTCTTCCTCGTTTCAAGTATTTCCTACCTGGCTGGAAAGCCAAGGCAAGCAGTGAGGGAAATGAGATGCTGCTCTGCCTTCTACGGCCCTTCTCCAGCCTTGTTGCCCTTCTTCCAATGTCTGTGTCACCTCCAGCTCTACTGCTCTTTTCATTTCTCCTTGTCTAATCTGGTGTCCTTTTGGTAATCTAGTTCTCTGCCATTTCTTCTATCCATCATACCTTTCCCTTCCCAAATCCCGAAAAAGGCTGATTGTTGGTGTTGGGATGACCCAGACTGGATCAAACCTGTAAGGACGGATGCAGAGAGGGCTGGGTCCGGCATTGGGGACAGGGATAGCTGCTGAGATATTGGAAGGGGTCTGCATCCCTCAGAAAAAACACTTATCTTCATGCCCTTCCCCTCCAGGTCAGCTGGAGGTGTCGCCCACCCTCCCAGCATGGGGAGCAGCACGGGGGAGACATTTCCCTGGTGCCAGTCTGTGGAATCCAATGCAGGGTGGTGGGGTGCAAATCCCACCCCGACAGTGGGAGTGAGGAGTCTCCATGGGCTTCTGCTTTCTCTGTATTGCCCTAGTGCTGCTTCTCTTGCCTGACCTCTATGTCCCTCTGCCTCCCTTTCGGGGATCTTAAGTCTGGTGGCACCCCAGATGGATGACACTGCTGGGTACCAGGCTGGCAGGGCCTGTGGGCAGCCCGCGGGCAATTTGGCAGATGCTTTGCTCTCTAGAAATGTTGGCTGGCAACAGCGAATGGTATTTTATAGTTCTGATCTGACACACCAAACCGTGCACAAAGTCAGCACGTTTCCTTTGCCTGCGGGCACATCTTTTGCTACCTGAAGTCATCTTTTCTGTGCACAAGGTTTGTTGCAGGATGGTGGCCCATGGCAGGGCTTACAAGGCTTGGAGCTGTTGGAGGCCAAGGTGAGCTTGGTTTGGGGAATGGTGCCCTACAGAAACCCTTGAGGAGCGCAGCTCCCTTGGTTAATGTAGCTCCCTGGTTAATGTTTCTGAAGATTCTGTGCTGCCTCTAGAAACGGCAAAGAAACATGTCCAAAAGTTCAGGGCACTTTCCTAAGCTGGTTGGGGTGGCTGCCCAGGTGCCTCTGTCCTCCTGGCCTCTGCTCCTGTGTTTTCAGCCCACCGTGCTTGCTTCCTTCATGGACCAGGCAGCGTGAGCTGACTTCACCAGTCTTTGTCACTGTGGGAGAAGGTCTCCCTGCTCCAGAAGTCTGTACTGCTGAGCTCCTGTCGTAGCCTGACGGGCCACATTCAGCTGTCGGTTGGACATCCTCATGCTCCTGGGTCTCTAGGGAGCTTAATTTGCATCCAGGCCACATGCCAATGCTGCCCAGGGAGGATTTAGCTCAGTCAAGTTGGAGTCTCAGCATTGAGAAATGTTTAATTTAAAGAGCAGTTTCCTTCCACCTAACAAGAAATATTCCTTCTGGAGTGAGAGTTCCCTCAGAACGCTGGCCGGGACTGAGCACTAATGAATTCCTCTTCTCTTTCTTTTTCCCTGCATCTCCTGGAATCTCTAGCATCTCGTAAGTATA